ATTACACTTCTGTGTCTTTAGAGCTCCTTCTGGTACCCAAATCTGTATTAAGGCTCTCTAGAGAAACAGAATCAGTTAGAAAAGAAGATTTATTAGATGGGCTTACATGGTCAGAGGATAGTCTCATAGTAGTCATTTGCAAGTTGGAGAACTGGGGAAATCAGTAACTAATCAGTCCAAGAAGCCGAAAATCTCACAATGGGAGGGACCAATGACCCAACCCCCGGAGGAGGCTGAAGGCCTGGAAGCCCTCTGGAGAGTCTCTGGTGTGAGTCCACTTTCAAAGGCTGTAGAAGCTGGTGTCTGGTGTCCGCAGGTGATAGTATCAGCAAAATTCCCAGCTGCTCAAGAAGAATCGAGCTGGCAAGTTCAGGCAAGCTTTCCCCATCTTCCTCTATCTGTTCCTTCTGGGCCCCCAGCCACGGGACAGTGCCACCTACATTCAAAGCAGGTCTGCTCCTCTCATTTTACTGAGCTATGTGCCAACTATCTCTGGAAACATTTCACATACACACCCAGAATTGTGCTTCACCAGCTTTTTCGGTTTCTCAGTCTACTTAGGTTGATCACCAAAATTACCCATCACACAGACCTAAGCTATGAAATCAAAAAGTCCTAGATTTCATCCTTTTAAAACAAATTCATACCTGTTATCCACCTGGGACCTTTGCCCTGCCATTTGACACAGGAGACAAATGTTTCACATGTTTTGCAAGTGAGATAGGTTTAGCTTTGTGAGAATGGTTCCTTTAGTCACTCAGTGGTCGCTGATGGAACCAGTTCTTTAACTGTGGTTTTTTTCTTTAATTGTCCAATTTTGTCAAGATACATGGATTCTTCTAGGAGAATCTTGGCAATTTATAATACAACTGTTTTGGTATCAATCATACTATTTCTGATAGGTGGTAAGATAAAATGTGAGGAAGAGAGATGAATTAGACTCAGGCTGAAGGGAAACAGGCACAAAATAATATAATAATGATATAATTGGGGGCCATTTATATTTACTAAGCACTTCTGCACATGTGATCTAATTTTATTTCCTCAATAACCTGCATTTGTCCGGTAAGTGAGGACAAAATGAAGGCCTTAACATATTTAACAAATTTTCAAGAAAATTTAATTACAAAGGAAAAAGACAAGTAGTAAAAATCAGCTTATAGGATTAACAGCAGTGAATTATTCCCATTATGGCTCCCAGTGGAATTGCCTCTAGGATAAAGAGGAAATATCAAAATGTTAACAGAGGTAGGGACTGATTTATGGTATTTCAAACACCCTTTATTATTCTTGGTATTTTTATTTTTGTGTTTGTGTTCATTCCCCTCTTGGGTGAATATGTATTAGGAAGAAAGTAAGCTATTAAAAGTGCACATAGAAAAGATGGTGGTAGCTACTGGTTTGGAGCATTGCAGCCTATGTTGATTGAAGAGGATGTTCACTCAGGGAAGTGAGCAGGAGAAGCCTAGAGCAGGTATTAGATTGGAATTGGAGGTTGCCTATATGAACTCAGATATTCAGTAGATAAATAAATACAGAAATGGATATGGACAAAAATATGTGTGTGTATACACGTAATTCGGTAAATACTCATGTTATATACACACATATATTCCCCTGCACTGTCCACTGAGATGACCTAGAACAACAACATCCAGAAAGCAACAAGCATGTCTAATGCCCAGACCTTGAATCTTGATTTCTGCATATCATTATCCAATAAAAGCAACCAGAACACCTGGAAGAATGGCTCATTCCAGGGCTGGGGAAGGGTAAATATTAAATCAACTTGGAACATGATGTTGTCCTAAAAAGTCAGGAAATGTCAACTTGCATGGGCATCAGATGGCCAAATCAGGAATATTCTGAGCATCAACACAAGTTAACAATGAGCAACAGATTATACCCCTTTGAATAAAAAGAGAAACCCATGAACCCATACTGATATAATTAAATGAGTGGATAAATAAATGGGGAGGATAACAAGCATTTGAATGCTGGTAAGTGTAGAAGGAATGAGAGAATTTTAAAGTCATTATGTGGCAGCCACCTGTAATAAATAATTTGGCCAAGAAATGACAATGGAAATTAACGAATGAAAAAAAGTTAATGAGGACTGGTTTACTCATGGAATCCTAAAATATTTTTAGGTCCATAAGAAAAAAAGTAATTTCACAGGGGGAGATTTAATAGATACTACCTTAATCAAGCTATCACAAATAATGACAGGAATCAAAATCATGTACCACCTGATAGGATGGAATGAGAAGACAGCACCACTTCTTTGATACTCCTACCAATGCTGCAGAACTTCACAACCTGAATCTGTTTATGAGGAAGCGTGAGAGACATTTCCAATATAATCTTTAAAATGCCAAAGCCATGACACTTACGGAAAGACTGAGGAGTTATTCCAGTCTTAAGGACTCTAAGCACACAGGACATCAAAATGCAATACCTGATGTTGAACTGGACCCTTTTACAATAAAGGACATTATTGGAACAATTGGAAAAACCTGAATGGGATCTGAGACTAAAGTGCTGGTCATGCATCTGTATTAATTTCCTGCCGCTGACAGTTTGGTGGTGCTGGGGATTGAACTCAGGGCCTCACACATGCTGGGCAAGCACTTTCACCACTGAGTCACATCCCCAGCCCCCACTGACAGTTATTTTGGAGGATGCTCTTGCTTATAAGAATTACACACTAAATTTTTTCATGGGTGATATGGATGATTTACTTTCAAGATATTCAGGAGAAATTTTTGTTGTTTTTTTGGTAAGTTTTCTATACATTTAAAAACATATCAAAATAAAAAGCACATTATGATAAGTATCACAGTAAAAGAATTATATGCAAAGAATTATATGGAAAACTACTTGAGTAACACTACCACCAAAAAATTTTACTTAAAAATTGACTTTTAAATTGCATTCTACTATGTTTCGAGAATAATCAGATTCCTTTAATGATGTGCTATTGTATACCTATAGTGTTTATTATTATCCAGGAGACATTTTACAACACTTTGTTATGCTATATAGTTTTTCAACATATTCGGCTTATTTGGATTCAGTGCATAGCCCAATCATTGTGTAAAATAAAGTTTTTTTATCTTAAACACACATGCAAATCTTCACCATTGCCTAGAGAGATTACTTGTCCCCATCACATGGCTAGGAAGTGAGAGGAACTGACCTTGATCTGTGTCCTTCTGCCTGCAGTTCTCCACACATAACAGGGTGTAAGACCTGGCCAAGGCAGTGCAGAGTCAGCCATGGAGAGAGGAGGTTCCAGTCCTGGGCTCCATGTGGAAAGCAAAGGCCTTCATCAAGACCCACTCTAGGGAGCAGAACCAGGCAGTGCCAATATAGAGGGCCATCCACCCTCTAGAGAGACATTGGGCATAAGAGAAAGGTGATTTAAATGCTCTGAAGTTTATTTAGTTATATTCTGGACTTTCTTTTAAGAACTGAAATTCAATACACGGTTTTGTTGTCTGATTTTGCCATTATTTGTTAAATCGGTTTTGAAAGCCTTTTAGGCTAGACATCTGCTTTCTTGGCCAGCCTTTCCTCCCACTTCTGCTTTGTTGTAACCAAAGGAAAGCCTGAATAAACCCTCCAGCTTCACTTGCTTTCAGTTGACTTTAAAATATGCTCATTTTGGAGGTCACGCAGCTGAGCCATGTATTTTTAGTCTCCCACCAGCTTTGCTACAGACAGCGCCTGTGACTGGTGGTCATGATGATTCTGGTTGCCTGGGCTGCTTTTCAAGGTCTTTAAGGCCACAATTGTGAAAAGTACAAACTCTTCCTTTGGACCTGAGGATATCTGATGGGTGATGAAATTTGGGATAGAAAAGCTTGGCATCTCTGCCTTCACTCTGCATTTGCTTCCTTTGCTACCTTAACCATTGAGTCAGATTTACAGTTGAGTCACATGTTAGGGAGTGTGTGTCTGGAATTGGTGTTGCAAAGTTGATTAGTCCCAACTTTACCTAATCTGTCTCTTCCCCTTTCAAGGCTGAAGACAACAAGATAAGAGTAACTAAGATATTATTGAAATTTACAGACATCAGGATCACCAATCACCACCTCTTACAGGCCACCAGAGTGGAACCTAGAAGTCCCCAGTGGTCAGTCCTTCCCTTTCCTTGGCTGTCTTTGTTTCCCCCTCCCCTGGGGATTAAAGTTGCTTACACCTAGGCTGGGTTGAGATGGTCTTGTCAGCATGGCCTCCATCTTCTGGACTGGCTTGCTTGCTTTCCAAATCTTTTTCCTTGTGTCAACAGCTCACCCTTGAGTGAGTGGCAACTACATGAACCTGGGTACAGTTATCCACACACTGTGTTACCCTGGGGAATGGCTTTACCATGCATCTTTATTCACAGACAAAAATTCAAGAGGCAGAATGATAAGGAGAAGAGATTTTTTCAGGTTTAAGGAACCTGGTATTTTTGGCTGTTTTTGTTTTTTTTTCTGGTTTCATTTCTCCATCTTCTGGGTGCTCAGGGGTGAGGAAAGCTTTCATTAGAGAGACGTTCATAAGAAAAGTGAAACACAGGAAAGTAAAAATACAAACGCAGATTTAGTGATCCAGAGAACCTATCAGTCTCAGCTCCTTGGAGGTGTTTCCTCAGTAGTTTTTATTCTCATTTGAGGAAATTCAGAAACTAAAGGAATTTGGATCTTTAATTTCAAAAGGAATTCTGTTTCAAATTCTGCAGAAAAGCAAGTTATCAGGATGTTGCCCTTCATTTCAGAGGAAGTCAGTTTCACTTCACCTTCACCCCAGAACTGCCTGACACTGCCCCCACCCCCAAAGCAAATGTGGTCCTAGACTCTGCATTCTGTTCTTTGGTGAACCCAGAGCATGGTCAGACTTAAATAAGGTGCTGGGCATAAAGTCCAGGTCTGGTCAGGAGGGAGAGGCAAGTAGCCCCTGTTTGGAACCATGTCAGCTGAGAAGATAACTCCTCTTCTGTATTTGTCTTTCAGGAAAACGCGGATGCCTTGGAGAACAGTTGGCTAAGACTGAGCTATTTATTTTTTTCACTTCCCTTTTACAAAAATTTACCTTCAAGCCCCCAAACAATGAGAAGTTGAGCCTGGAGTTCAGAATGGGCCTCACTGTCTCCCCTGTCAGCCACCACATCTGCACTATCCCTAGGGGATGATGCTGTTGGTGAAGGAAAAGGAAAGACAGGGAAAAAAAAAACAAAAACAAAAAACCGCAGGTGCTTTGGAGCTGCTGGTGCCTGCTCAGATGTTTGGAAACAGAATGAAGATGATGCCAAGGAAAGAGGAAAGAATCTGGACTAAAAGGAAGCTGGATCCAAACCCTGGTTCTGCCATCTCCCCCTATAGCCCTGGAATAATCACTTGTGTGCTCATTAATTTACCTTCTCATCCAGGAGGTGAAAAATTATTTCCCTTGAAAAAAAAAAGGTCCTGTAAGAATTAAAGGAAACAATGGATTCTAAGTGATTCCTACACCATAAAAACATATCCTAAGAATAATAACTACAGTCCTGCCTACTTCCCGCCTCCTTCCTTGGCCATGTATCTGCTTCTAGCTGGTTAACATAGCTCAGGTTGAAGTGGTGCAAGACAGGCAATGAGATACAAAGTGGAATCCTGGGGGCAACCATGGAGACAGAACATAAAGTCTCTCTCATTTGTGTTGGCTTTATCCTGTTTTGGCCTTAGAATGGTCTCCTGGCTAGTGACCAATGGATGAGTCTATTCACAGGAAGTGGAAGCAACGTTTTCTATGATTTGCACAAGGGAGCACCAACTTGGCCTTAGAAAGAGGACCAATAGGGTGTGACCACAGTTAACCCAATCTGGAAATCAGGTTTGAAGAATAAAAGTGAAAAGAGTTTGTCTTATAGTACCTCTATTTTGAGTCCTCCATCAGACACTCATTCCCATAATGTTTCACATTGGATTTAACTGTAAGCTTTTGTTGGCTAATATTACCACCTTATAGTCTGGTAGAGCATTTTATAGCAGAACATCAGAAATGCCAGAATCCTGCCACAAAAAAGAGGACCAGGGACTTTCCAAGAAGTTTTAGCCCAACCCCAGAGCAGACCTACCAACCAGGCTGGTAAACTGGACTTAATTTCATCCAAAGGTCTGACCTTCCTCCTTTCCTTCCTTTCTTCCTTTCTCTCTCCTCTCTCTCTCTCTCTCTCTCTCTCTCTCTCTCTCTCTCTCTCTCCCCCTCCCTCCCTCCCTGCCTCCCTCTTTCTTTGGAGAAAGATTTCTTTTCTTAAGTGGCTAGATCTAGGTAATTTAGTAGCTCATAACTGTCAACAGCTGTCTGTGGGTTGTATGTGAGTCACTGGGCATGGTAGCCTCATGGATAGACACATCTGTGAATGGCCAGTGGACATTTACTCTGGTCAGTTCCCCAGGGATAATGTAAATTTCTTTCCCACTCTGCTGGGCCCACACAGCACCTGAGATGGTTGTTATCTGCCTAAATGTCAATCAACGTGCTGACTGCAGGACATCATGAAGCAAAACTAAGCCCTTGAAACTTCATCCCTGCCTTTGATGTATCCCCTTAAATAAACTACCAGAGCTATTTTCCCTTTGTCTAGTTCCAGAACCCCTGTGGACTAGATCAGAGGCTTCATCTTGTGTAAATATATTTCTGAGTTTTTGTGTTTTGTTATTTGCTACTTATCTGAGATTGTAGTTTTAGTGTGGCTTGGATTCCCCTGGGCAGAAAGAACCCTGCAGAGATGCTGGCATTCGTCCCCTTTCCCAACACATAACAAAATGGCCAGGAGGTCTTGGGTTTTTCCAACCTAATGCTTAAAATTCAGAGAAAAGCCCATTCTACTGCCAGCATGAAAAAAGGAAACAGAAAGGGAAAGAAGGGGGCAGTGTTTGGCTTGAGCTAGACTAAGACAGCTGAGAATATCTGGAAGAAATGGTTGCATTTTCAATGTGGGGAGGAGGCTTCAGTCTCTTGTGCCTGGTAAAGAAAAAATGGAAGAGAGAAGCCAGTTGCTCATAATTTCTTTGTAAGCCCTTTTAAGGCAAATCTCTATAAAACAGGGCAAGAGATAATCCAAGACCAGTCAAATCAGGCTTTAACTTCCACTCATCTGGGATCTGTCTACCATTTATTTTCCCCTTTCTTCCTCTGGTTAGATCAAGTAGGAGATCCATTGTAAATTGTTCAAAATCTTTACATTTCTCAGTTTCCTCATCTATACTATAAGGGACTCTGTTGAAGTCATTTCTGTATTCTATTCCTGTCCTGCTGTACACTGTCCATGATTCTTGATGGGTAGGCATACACCAACTACTTGTGGAATAAATATAAAACTCCTGGAGACTTGTCCTGACCTAATGGATGCAGTGGGACCCAGGGCCAGTGAAGTGTCACCACAATGAGTCAGAATATTGGAGAAGAAATGACTGTGACTACTAATTGAATTTTACATGTGCATAAAAAGTGTGTCTTCTTTTTGCTCAAAATTTGTTGGAGACATTAAAACACACGAGTCCTCTTCCCATCTAAGCATCACATAAGGATTTTGTTAAATGTACTCTTGTGAGTCTCCTATTTCTCCTTTATTTGGGAAACCTCAGGACTCCTTACTCCCTTCCTTTGTACCTGGAACCTAGTGTGCCAATAAAATATATTCTGATATTATCTGCCACATTGTGGATGAGGCAACCAGAGGCAGCCCAGGGTGTGAATCTTCTCTCCACAACTCTGCTACAAAGAGATGCAAACATGGGCACAGTGAAGTATAATTGTAAAATCAGGGTGGAAGTCAAGGGACTTACAGCAGAGAAGAGTCTGGTGGCAATGGACCTGGGTCAGGCATAGTGAGACTGCAAGCACCAGGGGGAGGTCCAGCAGAGGGACTGCCCTCACTGCCCTAAATGTTCAGACAGGAAGCAAGGGCTGGCCAGGTGACTAAGTAGCATGGATGACTTACCTGAGTAAGCAAGGAACTGTGCTAGAACAGGGGACTCCAGAGCTCAAGATTTGGTGAACTGCTGCTTGCTTTCTTTTCCTCCCTCCCTCCCTCCCTTCCTTAAGAACACTGTCAACTAGATTGGCTTAATCTTTTCTTTTTAAATTGTTTTTAATTGTAGATGGACACTATATCTTTACTTATTCATTTTTATGTGGTGCTTAGGATCAAACCCAGTGCCTCACAGTCCACTACTGAGCTACAACCCCAGCCCCCAGGTGTTCTCTTAAGCTTGCCCAAGCAAACTGAGTCAGTTTTCCTGTGTGTGTGTGTGTGTGTGTGTGTGTGTGTGTGTGTGTGTTTGTGTTGTTTGTTGCTAAGCTACCAAAAGGGAAAGGTGGGGGATGCTGGGGAGCAGTGCCCAAGGACATGCAGGTTGGTCACTCAACCTCCTACTCTAACTTTGAGCAAGACATTTCAAACTGCAAGCTATGTTCCTGTAAAATTGGCAGTCTGGCAGAGGTTCAATGAATTCTCTGCATACCATGGGCTACCTGCCTTGTGACTCCCCACCCACATTTCACACTCCCACCCACTGCAGTGCCACCAGGGCCCACCATGTGCAGTGCCCTTGATATGGAAGGTATATTGTCTTCAGTTTGACATATCTTTCCCTCTTCTGGGAATTTGCCAGTTCAGCTCCTCTTCAGGTTACAGTATCCCTCCAAACAGATCCCCGCTGGGACCTCAAGCTGTCTGCATTCTCAGATTCATATAAAATCCCACACTCATCCCCACACCATGAGGGGCAGTGCAGTATTCCTTCAAGACAGCCTGCCTTTCTTGACCATCACTGTCAGCCTTACTCAGCCTCTTGCCTACAGGAAGTTTCAAGCCTCAATGTGACACTGATTTGTGGTACCAAGAGACTTTACAAAACCAAATAATTCCTGTAGCCTTGAAGCCTCTCACGGGGGGAGGAAAAACTTAGCTTCTCCTCCATTTCATAGGAGATATGTGGAAAGTGAGCAGGACCTTCTAATCAAAGAAAACCAGAGCTGAAGAGGAGTTAAAGTGTCAAAAATATTTCATTCAAGAAAAATTAGGAAAAAGACCTCAGAATAGAACTGGGCTCCATTCTAAATACAGCCTGAACAAGTGGGCATTTATAGTGGGAGCACGCTGAGGGGATCCCTGGATGGAAAATGACTAAGTGGAAACATCAGTTTTGATTACACTGACTGAACAGGATTATTTTTGAAGTTGGTCACATGATCAGGTGCCATTTGTATGTGTTCAGATCTCAAGAGAGATCATTAAATATTTGAAAGTAAAATTCTATATATTTGTAATGGAAGATGCTGTTTTATTGTGAATAGATTTGAACATATGGCAGCATCCTTCAATATGGTTACTAAGTTAACTTTTTTTTTCATTTGGTAAAGTTGCATTACTTTCCCCAATACCCAAACATGCTGGCTGTGTCACCCTAAATGCAGAAAGACCAAACCTTAGCATACTTCTTCTACTTGAAAGAGTAGATAAAGCTGTTTTTGAAACAAAACCTCACATTAATAGTAGTCTCATGTCAGTTCAAATATTTATTGATGATACATTATAAATCAAATAAATAGTATGGGGCCATTCCCTTTCAGAGCTCATAGGTTATTACTGGTGGAAGGGGGAATGGGGGATTATGAATACACAAATCATTTGGTGTTAATAGTCTCTACATGAGAATGGATATCAAAAGAAAAAAATTAAGTATATATAGTTCCACAACATTTTTCATCATTTCCATCACAGTCTAACAGTCTTGAGGCTGAGAGACGTGTGTTGATGAAGTCCCCGAGGTTGACTTCTCCCCAGCTGCTTACCTCATAAGCCAGTTCAGTACATTGTGCCTTCAATTGTAGCCACATTTTTTCCAATTCCTCCTCCACCTCTTCCTCCTTTTTCTCCTTTCCCTCTTCTTTTGTTTTGAAATGTCTTATATTGCCTTAATTTTTGAAAAATTGTTCAGATATAAAAGTCTATTTTAACAAGTTTTTCTCCCCTCTTTTTAGCACTGTGAAGATGTTTTTCCATGGTTTTCTGGTTTTCATTATCTCTGATGAAAGTTTCAGTTATTTATCCCTTGGTTCCTTTGTTCATTGAAGGTATTTTGTCTTATGGTTGTTTCAAAGTTTTTTAATATTACTCCTCAGCAATTTGGTTATAATGTTTTAGTATAGTTTTCTTTACATTTTTCTTGACTGAAGTTGAGTTCCTTAAATCTGTGAGCTTATCATTTTAAGAAAATTTGGAAAAACTTTGGTCATTATTTCTTCAAATGTTGCTTTTATGAACTGACCTCCTGCCCCATATTCCTGGAATTTGAGTCATATAAATGTTAGACCCATTAATGTTGACTTACTGGTTACTGAGGTTCTGTTATTTTTTTCAGTTTTCTCTCTGTGCTCCCGTTGGGATAGTTTCTACAGCTCAGTTTTAAAGTTCATTTTTTTTTTCTTCATCAGTGTCTCATTTTCCATTAAGCAACTCATTAATTTTTTAACATTATACATTTTTCCACTCTGGAATGAATTGATTCTTCTAAATTTATAGTTTATTTCTCAATTATTTGCATGTTTTTCTTTAAATCCTCTGTACTATCCATTTAAAGTCCCTGTCTGGTAATTCCATATTTCAATCATTTGTTCTGATTTTTTTCTGATTATAGGTCACATATTCTTGCTTCTTCAAATGTCCAGTAATCATGGATTAAATATATATTTTTCATTCTTGAATGTTTGGATTATTTTTTGTCTGCTTTAAAGAGTGTTTTGTTTTGTTTTAGTAGGCAGTTAATTTACCTGTAAAACACCTTTGTTTTTTTTTTTTTTTTTTTTTTTTTTGAGTTTTAAAACTTTGTTAAAGTGGGTCTAAAGTAGCCTGCATTCTGGGACTCCTTGAGGTAACTTTTCTGGGGTCCCTACTGATCACCTGAGATGTTTAATGTGGTTTCTCCACTTTGCTCAGTGTTTAATAATTCCCACCCAGTAAAACCTATGGCAACCATTAAGCTTATAGCTTTTTGGCAGTTAGTTATTTTGTCCCCACTAGATGCTCTTTGCCCAGCCTCTTGGAGTCTCGACCTATATCTACAGAGCTCAGCTGTTCTACTTGAAGATTTATGGAGCTCCTTCTTGGCAGAGCTTGTTCCTTTCTCTGCCTTACAAATTCCACTCATGTCAGTCACTCCAAACTATATTTTCTCATCTAATAAAGACTACTGTGATCTGTTCCCTCTCCTTCTTGTAATGGGGTGCACTAAATGCCTCCAGGGAGAAAGTCAGAGATGGTGGAGTTCACTTCATTTGTCCTTTGTTTTGGGAATCACAGTCCTGCAGTTCCACTTTTCCAGTATCTGAAAACTCTTGTGTATTTATTTTATTGATTCTTTTGGTTCTTTTTTTAAAAATAGGGTAGTTTTGCTTGATCTTTTTTTATTGATTTTTTAAAAAAATAAATGACAGTGGAATGCATTACAATTCTTATTACACATATACAGCACCATTTTTCATATTTCTGGTTGTATATAAAGTATGTTGACACCAATTCATGTCTTCATATATGTACTTTGGATAAAGATGTTTTCTGGTTCTTTTTAGTAGAAAAGTTAGTCCACTACTAGATAGCATGAAATAGAAAAGTCAGCACAGTGTGTTTT